AACCCTGCAGGTGGTGGTTAGTATGCCTGCCTGTAAGGGGGCCTGCCTGGCTGCCACGAATCTCAGGTGCTCAGCTTTGGCCAGTCCAGTCCCCAGCCTGCTGCTCTCGCAGGAGACTCAGATCTGAACTCTCCACTCTGAGCAGCCCCCTGCTCACCTGCCACATTGGGTTGGGTCCCCTAGTCCCTTTGCTGGGCCACTTTCTGTTCTTCCTGCGCATCTGGACTTAGTGGGGACAAATTGTGCTTTCACTTTGGTTTCTTATTGGCAGAGTTGGTGCACATGCAAGCACGGGGTCCCTCCCAGCCATGCTTCAGCGCCTCTTTTAAAAAAGTCTCTGTGGCACCCACCCTGCAGCGCTGAGCCATGTGCGGGTTCTCCATCTCCCTCACAGCAAAAAGCCTTCCTCGGTCAGGGCTGTCCACGGCCTTCCAGTGCCTCCAGACAGTTTTAGGAGATAGTTTCTCTCTGGCACTCTCCTGGTTGGCGCGGCAGCTGTGGACATGCTGCTCACTGTGTGTGTGCAGCCTGAGTCTCTCAGACTCTGTACATCCTTCCAAGGCTCTCCCAATTAGGGCTGGGGGTTTTCCTGTGTGGGACCAGGGCCCTGCTCTGGAAGGGGAGGGAGCCGCTAAGCTACATTTTCTTTCTGGTCTCTCCTCTGCTGCAGGCACCTTTCTTACAAAATCTTACCCCTCTACTCATAAAATCTCTAACCAGATGGTGCAAAGCATCCTCTATGCTCCTTGGTTTCAAAAATTCATATCAGCTGAGATTCCATTGATTGTTCAGGTCCATGTTGGAAGATCAGCTGAAAATTAGTGCCAGCAACATGAACAAGTGGGCTCAGCTTCCACCTACTCTGCCACCATCCTCTGTCCCACATCTATCACGTATCTAATTCTCAGTGTAATAAAGATGCTCAGGGCAACAGTGGAGGAAAATTGTTAAACATTTTTGAGAGACAGCAAAGAAAATCAAAAGAAATGGGTGGAAGCCTATGGAAGACTTAAACATGTTCACATTCAATCAAACTTCAACAAATGTGTTTCCTTGGGGAGTTGAAAATTGAGAAGGAGGTTTTAAAGGCCAAGTAGAGCCAGCACGCTCTTGAAGAAGAGCCAGATGTGAACATTTATCTATCAGATATCAAGAATTATCAAAATGCTACAGCAATAAAGACAATGGGGTCATAGAGCAGGGACAGTGATCATATGGAAGGACTAGAATAGTGAGTTCAGTAGCAGACCGATGAATGAATGGACTTCCCTGTCCCCATTGTTTGTTTGGTTGTTTGTTTGTTTTTACCATTAAGCTTGCTATCATTTTTTCATAAGTGGTGATTTCAATATTTAATTAAAAATGTACAGTTGATGCTTGAACAATGTGGGAGCTAGGGACCCCCAATCTTTGTGCAGTCGAAAATTCTCATATAACTTAATTCGGCCCTTTGCCTCTGCGGATTCCCCAGCTGTAGATCAAAAATGTTTTCAGTCCTTGATTTGTTGAATATGTGGGTGTAAAACTGGGAATATGGAGAGTTGATGGTATATTTATTGAAAAAATCTGCATGTAAGTGGACTTTTGCACTTCAAACCCATACTGTTCAAAGGTTAACTGCATAGGTAATTTGCAGGACACTCAAAAGTGAAATCCAGTTGGGTGAGGGACCACAGTCCGAGAAGTAAAACCACACCCTCAGATGATGACAGAGATCATTTCAAGGCTTCAGGATAAGGAGAGGCTACTTAAACAGAGCATTGGAGTAACTTCTCATATTTTAAAAACTAGAATTGTGAGTCTTTCAAAGATACCAGATGAGTGAAAAGGCAACTTCCACAGATGAATAAGATATTTACAAGATACTTAATTGTCAAATCTTTAGCACTTAAACTTTTTTTGAGCTCCTAAAGATGAATAAGGAGGAGACACTGCTATTGAAAATTGGGCAAAATCCCTTTTACAAGACAGGAGAACTGTAAGAAAGGCACAGACGGAACCCCCTGGGCCCCAGAAGTCTTGACTATGTCCTAGAGGAAGAGCAGCTGTTCCAAGGCGCTGTGCAGAGGACATTGTGACAGTGTGCGACATCTCCAAACAGGCAGCTCAGTCATGAGAACGATGTGCTTTTAGAGCAGAAAAGAGCTCTCTGGCAGATGATACTATTGTTTGCCTTGATTATTGTGACAGAGGACTATGTCAGGAGACCAGGGGTTTTGCCCCAGCACCACCTCTAACCAGGGACAAGCCACTTAGAACCTCTGTGTTTCAGTTGCACATGTGCGAGAGCGAGCCCCCTGCCCCAGGTCCCCTTCCGACCACAAGAACACTGTCCTTCCCGGCGTTCCAGCCTCCTTGCACGCACCCCAGGCTGCCCTGGGTCTGCCAGGGAGAGAGGGGTCAAAGCAGTGAGTGAGCCATGAAACAGCCAATTCATTGGGCATTCTAACAACTGTCACCTCCGGGTGTTTCCTTGGAGTCCGAGCGGGGACTGAGGAGGTGGCTGGGGCAGGTGGCGGTGTGGCCAGCACCGACCTGTGCCGCTCTCTGGGGACACCTCCTTCTCTGGCCTCAACAACACAAGTCCTGGCACTTTTCAGTTTTTGCCTCCCGCCCAAACACCATGGAGCACCCACCCCTCTGGCTCCTGGTTACCTCAGAAGGCTCTCTATGAGGGAAGAAAGAATGAAAGAAATGCCTCCAGCCCTTAACAGCATCCTCAGTGTGTGTTGTAACAACAGGAAATGTACTGGACACGTTCTCCTGGTTTGTTCCTGTAAAAAAAATGAAGTGAGTCCACTCATCTACTGATGAGCATTTGGTTTGTTTCCAACTCTCGGCTACTATTAATAACGCTGCGATTAATGTAAGGGTGTGCATATTCTCTAGAATCACTGTTTTGGTTTCTTTGGATATATTCCCAGAAGTGGAATCACTGGACCATAAGGCAGTTCCATTTTTAACTTTTGAAGAAATTTCATACTGTTTTCCACAGTGGCTGCACCGGTCTGCATTCCCACCAACAAGGTATCAGGGCTCCCTTCTCTCCACAGCCTCGCCAGCACTTGCTGTTTGTTGATCTGTTTATGATGGCCATTCTGACCTGTGGGAAGTGGTATCTCACTGTGGTTTTAATGTGCATTTCTGTGATAATTAATGACATTGACCATGTTTTCATATGTCTCTTGGCCGTCTGTAAGTCCTCTTTGAAGAAGTGTCTGTTCAGGTCCTTTGCCCATTTTTTAATTGAATTTTTTTTTTGTGTTGAGTTGTTTCAGTTCTTTATAAATTTTGAATATCAACCCCTTATCTGTTGTATCATTGACAATTATGTTCTGCCCTTCAGTGGGCTGTCTTTTAATTTTGTTGATGGTTTCCTTTGCTGAGCAAAAACTTTTTGATTTGATGTCCCACTTGTTTATTTTTTATTCTGTTTCCCTTGCCTGTGGAGACATATCAGAAAAAACACTCCTGGGTGAATTAAAAGGGCTATGATACATTTACAGAATGGAAGACTACTCAGCCATAAAAAAGAAGGAAATCTTACCTTTTGTGACAACATGGATGGGCCTGGAGATTATTCTGCTAAGTGAAATAAGCCAGTCAGAGAAAGACAAACACCATATGATTTCACTTATATGTGGAATTTAATGAATAAAATAAACAAACAAATTAGAAACCAGACTCACAGATGCAGAGAACAGACTGACAGCTGTCAGAAGGGAGAGTGGTTGGGGGCTGGGTGAAATAGGTAAAGGAATTAAGCAAAAAAAAAAAAAAATCATAGACAAAGACAACAGTACAATGATTACCAGAGGGAAGGGCGAAGAGGAGGAGGTAGTAAAGGGTAAAAGGGGATAAATGGTGACGGAAGGAGACTTGCCTTTGGGTGGTGAACACACAACACAATGTACAGATGAGGGATCATAGAACTGTACACTTGAAACCTGTAAATTTTGTTAACTAGTGTCACCCCTATAAATTCAATACAAAATAAAATAAAAAAAATGAAGTGAGTCCCTAAAGAATCTTCCTAAAAAGTCTTTCAGGAGGCCTTGAAACTCTTCCCTGATCCCCCAGAGCAGACTTTGCTAGGGTGGTTTTCTTGCCTTTGGTGTCTGAAGTCTTTATGACCTGTCCTCTTGTCTGTTGAGACCGAAGGCCAAAAAGAGTCAAGGGGCCATTTTCACAGCGCCAGCAAGTCCAGCCACTACCTGCCATGACCACTGGGTGGAGCTGGCTTTCCTTTCCAGCTCCCTGCTCACCCCTATGAGTGGGTCCAAGCAACCCATCCTCCTAAGCATGTCTTCCAAAAGCTTCCTTTTCCCATGTAACCCATGGTTTTGATTCACATAAACTACACACATCCTCTTTCAAAGACCTTCTGTGTAAGCCCTTAATTAGACCTACTGCAGGGAAAGATTTCATTGGGCAAAATGCGATGGTACTTAGGAACCATATTATAAGCCACTCATAGTGGCACAGACAACATATAACGCAGTTCAAGGCCAGTCCTGAAGGCTGGAGGGGACCTAGATGCCACCTGGTTGCTTTCACATACAAGGGAAGAAAGCCAGGGACTGATTTCCTCCAGTTTTCTATGCTTGAGAGCTAAACAGTGTGGAAATACCAGCTGGCAGGGAAACGACATTCATGAAAGAATGCAATAACACTTCTAAAAACTCTCCATCACAGGGGAAAAATCTGAGGCCCACTAACCAGAGTACTAAGCCCAAAGGCAAAGGTCTGTTTAAATTCAGAGGAGCCCACGGGGTCCATAGGCAATGTTTTGATAAGCTTTACATCATATTGGGGACAAACTTCAAATGCTATGCTCTCACAGAATTAAATATTTTTTTGAGCTTCCGCAGGCCCCGCAGCGGGTGCAGAGCCCTGAGGGGTTTCCAGTCCCCATGCTCCCTGCTCAGTGCCCCTTTCCCCTTGCCGTGCTCCTGACCTGGAGGAAGGCTCTGACCCCGTGCATCCCTCCCTGTCCCCAGAGCCCGCGGTGGTGTTTGCCAAGGAGCAGCCGGCACGCAGTCCCGTGCAGGCCGTGGCGGGGGCCATGGCGACGCTGAGCTGCGAGGTGGCCCAGGCCGAGACGCAGGTGACGTGGTACAAGGACGGCAAGAAGCTGAGCGGGAGCTCGAAGGTGCGCGTGGAGGCCGCGGGCTGCACCCGGCGGCTGGTGCTGCCGCAGGCGGGGAAGGCGGACGGCGGGGGAGTACAGCTGCGAGGCCGGGGGCCAGAGGGTCACCTTCAGCCTGGGCGTCACAGGTCAGTTCTTCGGTGGCACTCTCGCAGCCTTGTGTGTGGGTAATGACAGCAGCCCGATGCACTCCGGTGCTCTTGGCCCTGGTCCTCTCTCTCTGAGGCTCCGCCCTCCACCTTCCACTCCACACCCGTGGCCGGGCCAGAGGAGGCTGGACGGGCAGAGCGTGAGCAGAGGGACAGGCGTTCCTGTACAACCTGGCTTGGGCCCCACCCAGTGCTGCTCAGCCATAGTTCCCAGTCCCTGACGCGAGCCTGCCCGGGGAAGCTCGGTGTCTGGGCCCCTGGCTCTACCGTTGACTCGGAGTTGGAGGTGGACCAGGCGTGTCTCAGCTGTGCTGTGTGAATGCCCACCTCTCCATGTCTGGGGATGCCCACAGCCAGCAACGTGTGCTGTTCGCTCTAGGATAAGGGGTGGCTCCTGCCACCCAATCGTACTTGGATGTACCTCAAGACTGGACAGTGGGTTCGCAGATTTTAGTAGTTTGGGAGACTTCTTGCACGTGGATGTAGAAGTGACTGTACACTCGCATGTTGCAAAATTCTAGATGCATGAACTCTTGCCGCGTCTCGGCAAAGCAAACAAAGACGAGAGGATTGGCGCGTGTGTGTGAGGGCCGTACACCTAGGGGTCTGGAATTCTCTTTCTGAAGTGCACCTTGGTCTCGTCTTGCCTCCTGTTTCCCTTCATCTCCTGGGCTGGAATCCCCAGGAGATGACGTGTACGGTTGGACGTGGACTGGACTAAGGCAGCTGGCCCGCACTGCACGCTCTGTTGAAGACCAGTCCCTGTAGTGAGAGCCCCGACTGTAGAGACAGGGTTTATTTCACAGCGTTTCCCAGCGACTCGCGCGTGTCCGTCCCAAACTGTGTTTTCCTTTTCAGAGGGGCGTTTAACCTCGGATAAGGGTTGGCCGTGGTCGCACATCGACTCCCACGTGCCAGCGCGTGACCGCTGTGATTGGGCATGATTTGTAGGGCGTAGGCACGCCGCGCCCCTGCACGGGGCAGCGGCCGACATGCAGATGAACGTGCTCCCCGGGCTGAGAAGGCGCTGGGGCTTCGCAGGCCCCGCAGCGGGTGCAGAGCCCCGAGGGGTGTCCAGCCTCCCCGCCCCCTGCTCAGTGCCCCTTTCCCCGTGCCGTGCTCCTGACCTGGAGGAAGGCTCTGACCCCGTGCGTCCCTCCCTGTCCCCAGAGCCCGCGGCGGTGTTCGCCAAGGAGCAGCCGGCACGCAGTCCCGTGCAGGCCGTGGCGGGGGCCATGGCGACGCTGAGCTGCGAGGTGGCCCAGGCCGAGACGCAGGTGACGTGGTACAAGGACGGCAAGAAGCTGAGCGGGAGCTCGAAGGTGCGCGTGGAGGCCGCGGGCTGCACCCGGCGGCTGGTGCTGCCGCAGGCGGGGAAGGCGGACGGCGGGGGAGTACAGCTGCGAGGCCGGGGGCCAGAGGGTCACCTTCAGCCTGGACGTCGCAGGTAAGTCTTTGCGGTGCTCGCTCTGTCTTGTTCGGAGATGGGGAGTTGGGTATGTTCTCGGACATAGACCCTGGGGCTCTCTCATTAGAGCTGGTACCCACTTTGGCCAAGTGAGGGCAGAGGACGTTGGGCGCATGGAAGGGGGAGGGCTTTCCTGTAGACACCTGTCGTGTGTCCTTGTGCTAGAGCAGAGCAGTGCGTTCTGACGGCCTCCTTGGGACCCTTGTCATTTCCGGGTCCAGGACTGTGGCTGTGTCGGGTGCTTGTTCTGTGAGGTGGACTAGGCATCTCCGACATGGGTTATGTAGCTGTGCTTCTGCTTAAGTTACTCATCATTGTAGTTACACACAATGTCATATTAATCAGGTTTGCAGCATAGTGATAGAACACTGATACACCTCGCATAGCGACGGAAGTGCCATAGTTAAGTCGCACTTTGCATATTGATTAAGATACTCGTGACTACGTTGCGTAGGCCGTGCAGTAAGTCCCAGAGGCTTATATTCTAACAGGAAGTTAGCTCTTCCTCGCCCCTTCCCCTTCGCATTCATGCTTTCAGCCCCTCCTGTCTGGCGTCATCGGGTTATTCTCTGTATGTGTGAGTTTGTATCTGCTTGGTTTTTTTTTTTTGATTACTTGTGTTGTTTCTTAGATTCCACATGTGAGTGATTCCAGATGCCTTTTGTCTCTCTCTGACTTACTTCACTCAGCTTGTAGTCTCTAGGACTGTCCATGTGTTTGTAAATGGCAAGGTTTAATTTTTTATGGCCCAGTAGTATTCCATTGTATATTACATCCTCTTTATCCATTGTACCACATCTTCTTTATCCACTCGTCTCTTGATTTGCACTCAGGTTGCTTCCCTATTTCAGCTATTGTTAATAATTTTGTAATGATCATTGGGGTGCATATATCCTGTTGAATTATATTTGTATTTGCAAAAACACCAGAAGTGGGTGTTTTCTGTGGAACCTCCACACTGTTTTCCACAGTGGCTGCACCAGTTTGCAATCCCCCAACAATGCATGACAGTTCCCTTTTCTCTACAGTCTCTCCAGTAGTTATTTGTTGATTTAATGATGTTAGCCATTCTGATAGGTGTGAGGTGATAGCTTATTGTGGCTTTAATTGGCATTTCCCTAATGATATTGATGTTGAGCATCTCTTTATATGCCTGCTGACCATCCGGATGATCTGTATGTTCTGTTTGTAGATGTGTCTGTTTAGATCCTTTGCCCACTTTAGTATTGAATTGTTTTTTTCTTTCTTTCTTTTTGGCATTAAGTTGTATGAGTTCTCTGTATATTTTGGACATTGACACCTTATTGGATGTGTCATTTCAAAATGTATCTTTTTCCATTCAATATTTGGTTTTTCTTTTTTCTTTTTCTAAGATTATTTATTTATTTATTTTTAGCGAGGGGAAGGGAGGGAGAAAGAGGAGAGAAACATCAATGTGTGGTTTCCTCTTGCACGCTCCCCACTGGGGACCTGACCCCATCCAGGCATGTGCCCTGACTGGGAATTGAAACAGCGACCCTTTGGTTTGCAGGCCGGCACCCAAGCCACTGAGCCACACAGCCAGGGCTTCAGTAGTTTGATTTTTCATCTTGTTAATGGTTTCTCTCAATGTGGAAAAAATTTTTAGTTTGATTACTCCCATATGTCAGTTTTTTTTCTCTTGCCCCAGGACATATATCAGAAGAAATTTTACTAAGAGCCATGTGACAACAGTCACTGCCTGTGTTTTCTCCTCAGACTTTTATGGTTTTCAGTCTTACATTTAATCCTGTAATCTATTTTGATTTTATTCTTGTGTAAGCGTAAGAAAGTGGTCTAGTTTCATTGTGGGCAGCATACACTTATCCAGTTTTCTCTAAACCATTTGTTGAATAGACAGTCTTTACCCCATTGTATATTCTTGCCTCCTTTATCATAGATTCCTTGACCATATGGGTGTGGGTTTTTCCTGGATCTCTATTCTGTGCCATTGATCATGAGTCCGTTTTTATTCTTTGTCAATATTACTGGGGCTATTGGATGTCTTCTGTGATTCCATATAAATCTTAGGATTATTTGTTGTAGTTCTGTGAAAACAGCCATTAGTATTTTAACTGAGATTGCATGAATGTGTAGATTGCTTTGGGTTATGGACATTTTTAACAATGTTAATTCTTCTTTTCTATGAACACGTTATTGCTTCCACTTATTTGTATCTTTCTTCAACTTCTTTCTTCAGTGTCTTATACTTTTCTAAGTACAGGTCTTTTACATTCTTGGTTAATTTTATTCCTAGGTACTTTTTGATGTAATTGTAAATGGAATGATTTTCCTAATTTTCCTTTCTGAGAGTTCATTATTGGTGTATAAAAATGCAACTGATTTCTGGATGCTTATTTTATATCCTGGTACTTTATTGAATTTATTTATCCGGTCTAGTAGGTTTTTTTTTTTTTTTTTGGAGTCTGTATGGTTCTCTATAAACAGTATTATGTCATCTGCAAATAATGACAGTTTTACGTCTTCTGTTCCAATTTGAATGCATTTTATTTCTTGTCTGATTGCTATGGCTAGGACTTCCAGTACTATGTTTAATAAGAGTGGTGAAAGGAGACATCACTGTCTTGTTCCTGATCTTAAGGGAAATGCTTTTAGCTTTTGCCCTTGAATGTGATGTTGGCTGTGGGTTTGTCATTTATAAAATCCAAATATGGCTTTTATTAAATTGAGGAATGTTCCCTTTATTCCCACTTTGCCAAGTGTCTTTTTTAATCATCATAAATGGGGGCTGGATTTTATCAAATGCTTTTTCTGCATCTAGTGATATGAACATGGGATTTTATATTTTCATATTGTTTATATGCTGTTTTTATTTAAATTTTGGATATTATACCAACCTTACATCCCTGGAATAAATTCCACTTGATCATAATGTATGATCTTTTAATTGCTGGGTTTGGTGAGCTAATTTTCTAGTGAGGATCTTAGTATCTATGTTCATCAAAACTATGTTCATGCAATTTTCCTTCATTGTAGAGTCTTTATCTAGTTTTGGAATTAGGATAATGCTGGCCTTCTAAAATGAGCTTGGGAGTTTTTCTTCCTATTGAGTTTTTTTGGAATAGCTTGAGAAGGATACATTTGAATGCTTGGTTAAAATCTACCTGTGAAGCCATCTGGTCCAGGATAGTGTTTGTTGGAAGTTTTTTTGTTACTATTTCAATTCAATAGTTGTAATTAGTCTACTCATATTTTCATACTCTTCCTGGTTTTGTTAAGTGGATTGTATGTTTCTAGGAGTTTATCAATTTCGTCACCATTGTCCAATCCATAGTGTTTTCTTATAATCCTTTGTATTTCTGTGGTGTCAGTTATTATTTCTCCTCTTTCATTTCAGATTTTATTTATTAGGGTCCTCTCTCTTTTATCTTGACGTGTCTGGTTAAAAGTTTGTCAATCTTGTTTATTTTTTCAAAGGCCTGGCTCTTAGTTTCATTGATCTTTTGTATTTTTTAAACTCTATTTTGTTTATTTCTGGTCTGATCTTTATTATTTTCTGTCTTCTAATCACCTTTACTTTTCTTTTTTTTTTTTCTCCTCTTTTTCTTTTAGGTGTAACGTTAGATCGTTTACTTGAGAATTTTCTTGTTTCTTGAGGTAGGCCTGTAATGCTATGAATTTCCTTCTCAGGGCAGCTTTTGCTGTGTACCAATGATTTTGGGTTGTTGTATTCTCATTTTCACTTGCTTCAAGGTATCTTTTGATTTTTTTCCTTCATCTGATTGTTAACTCATTCATTGTTTAGTAACATGTTATTTAGCCTCCATGTGTTTGTGTGCATTTCTGTTTCTTTCTTGTAACTGATTACCAGATTCATACCATTGTGGTCAGAGAAGATGCTTGATATGATTTTAATCTTGTGAAATTTACTGAGACTTGTTTTATGTCCTACCATGTGGTCTATCTTAGAAAATGTTCCATGTGCACCTGAAAAGAATGTGTATTTTTCTGCTTTGGGGTGAAATACTCTGAAGATATCAATTAAATCCATCTGATCTAGTGTCTGACTTAAGGCCACTATTTCCTTGTTGATTTTCTGTCTGGAAGATCTATCCACTGATGTTGTTGTGATGTTAAAATTCCCTACTGTAAATATCACTGTTGATCTCTTCCCTGTGCTTCTGTGTTGGTATGTAGTTGTTTACCAGGGTTAGATACTCTTGTTGGATTGATCCCTTTATCATTATGTACAGTCCTTCTTGTCTCTTCTTATAGCCTTGGTTTTAACTTCTATTTTGTCTGAAATAAGTACTGCTATCCCAGGTTATTTTTTAAAATTTCCATTTGCGTGAAATATCTTTTTCCATCCCTTTATGTTTAGTCTGTGTGAATCTTTTGTTCTGAGGTGTATCTCTTGGAGACAGCATATATATAGGTCTTGTTTTCTTATCCATTTAGTACACTGTCTTTTGAATGGAGCATTTAAGCTATTTACTTCTAATGTGATTATTGATAGGTGTGTGTTTATCAGCATTTTATTCTTTGTAACTATGTTTCCCTCTCTCTCTTTTCCTTTTCTTAAGGAGAACCCTTTAACATTTCTTATTATACTGGTTTGGTAAAAGTAATGAACTCCTTACCTTTTCTTGTCTGGGTAGCTCTTCAGTTCACCTTCAGTTTTGAATGACTGCCTTGCATGTACAGTGATCTTGGTTATAGGTCCTTGCTTTCATCATTTTGAATATTTTATTCCAATCTCTTCTGACCTGAAGTGTTTCTATTGAGAAATCACCAGGGAGTCTTATGGGAGCCCCCTTGACGGTAACTAACTGTTTTTCTCTTGCTGCTTTATATTTTTCTCTTTTGACCCTGGGAGGGTAGCTCAGTTGGTTAGAGAATCATCTGGATGTGCCAAGATTACAGGTTCGATCTTTGGTCTGGGTACCTACCCATCAATCAATGAATGCATAATTAGTGGGACAACAAAATGATATTTCTCT